CTACTCTCTAGCCATCTCATCAGAACACCAAGGGTACTATTTTTCTCTGTACCCTGTGATACTGCACTGAGAATTTGTGTTTGGGGATGAGAGCGAAGTTTAAAACATTTTTACCCTCAAAGATAACAAGGTCAGACATGGTGGGTTTGTGCCTATAATCCCTGCAACTCGGAGAGCTGATGCAGAAGGATCACAAGCAAATTAGTGAGACCCAAATAGTTAGCTAATTGTCCCACAATAATTTAGCTAATTGCCTATTTTTCCTCCTCAATTTGAAGTATTACCTTCATCATAAAATAAGTGCTTGGATATATGAGTTCTATTAGTGGGTATTATTTCCTATTGATCTATTTGTTGGTTTTGCATGTCAAATACCAAAAGTTTTTATTACTACAGTCCTTTATAGTGTGTCTTCATACTTTGTAGGCCAATCTTATGAGAAAAAGAAACAATTTTTGTTTTCCATGTTTAGGTCATCAAACCATCCTGAAAGGAGAAGTGTCCAGGGGTAAGAAAGTCCTCTGCTAGCCCAGAGGGGACCACAGCCTAGAGGGGACAACAGCGCAGGATATACAATTCAAGTTCCCTGTCCCGTGTAAAAGTCAAACTGGATATTTCAAACAAGAAATAAACATTAGAGAAGTTCCAGAAAAGCAAAATGAAAACCTTAGTCAGAACTACACCTGAAGATGACCCTGTCATTTGTAAATTTGATAAATGGTGTGCATGTGGGTTGTTGAAGGAGAAAAAAAATCAGAAACGAATGACCCAGAGAGAGTGGGGATTAAACAAACCATGGTTTAATCCAAAAGAATGAGATGTCATGTTACCCCAAACAAGAGGATTCTCTACAGTTAACTAGGTATGGGGGTACAGGGTAGAAAAAGTGCTATTTACATAAATAGGGGAGCTGTAGTCAGAACTGTGAAAGCGTTCTTTTTGATGTGTGCAGGTTATTTGGTGAAAGCGACTAGCAGGTATCTGGGGAGACGTCAAGATTAGAAAGAGCATTTTAGATTCATGAAAAAGGAGATGAAAATTGAATCTCAAATGTACAGAAAGCACAGAGAACACAGGCAACCTTGAATCTGGGGGATAAGAAGTAAAAGGAAAGCTGAGAAAATACTTATTCAGGGAGGAAGGATCCAAAAGGTTGAGCGCCCCAGGGTTCAATCCCAGGGGCCAAAAAGAGAGAGAGGAGGAGGAATGCACTAGAGAGACTGATTTCTGTCTTCACCACGCGCGGTGGCGCAGGCCTCTCCCTTGCCCAGCCCAGGTCCGACCCAGCTCCCACCCCCGCGTGGAACTGGGTGGCCGCTCATTCCCCTGGAGATGCTGCAGCCATGGCGCCCCTAGCAGGTGGAGCAGCCTACTTCCGGAGGGGCAGTCTGTTCTGGTTCACAGTCATTACCCTCTCCTTTGGCTACTACACGGTAAGGGCAAGGGCCACCCCCCCCAGGGAGCGGAGGTAGTGCTGCAAGGTCTCAGGACTCGCCTGCAGGGGTTCAGCGCAGGCGCAGTCCAGGCTCCAGCGCGTTTGGATGGCGTGGGGAGGGCCGAGACCTGGGGAGGAGATACTGAAGAATTAGTCCTCAGCAGAGCCTTGGGCGGGTGCTCAAGGCTCTGAGAAACCGGCTCGCCAGGCTTTCCCTATGTGGACGCCAGCAAGCCTCCCCACCTGGGAACTCAGTGCCTGGGTCTTTCAAGATGGTGGAGGGGAAGTCGGAGGCCGGCAGGGATGCTACCTCCTACTTCCGTGTAGCCAGACCCTTGCCCTCGCTGGTCACAGCCCTATTGCTGGGATACTTCTCGGTGAGTCCTGGGGCGGGGCGGGCGGTAGATCGGTTTGGGCCGGCCAGGCCCTGGTAGGCCGAGGGTTGCTGTGGGAATGAGGTTCTGCGCACGCGCTCCTGACGGTTGCCTGCGTTACGGGTGTAAGCGGAAGTTCCCTGGGCTCTTGGGAAATCTTCTGCTTTGGAGGGCTTCTGCCCTTGTGTTCTGACTCCCTGTAAGGTTGGTTATTCAGGCTTAACTGAGTCTGAGCCTCTCACAAAGAGTAAAGAAGTCAAGTTGACAGACTTCCATAGCCCTGTCAGCTCAGGATAGGACTTCCGAAGCAGAATGTTTGAAGCAGTTGGAATGGCTTGGAAAATGGGGATAAAGCTGAACAATGGGCAGGATTAAATTGCTCAAAAGAAATAAAGAGGATATAACTAACTGTTTGGGCACAGATGTGGCAGCAAGAAAGCTCTACAGAGGAAGTACGTTTTTTGTAGGACTGAGAGTTTGTTTAATGGGAAAAATGCTAGGAAATACACTGGGAGCTAAATTGATGTAAATATGAAGGAAGGCAAAGCTATTTGACTATTGCCCAGGAGAGATTCTGAAGTTTAGGGATTCCTCATGTCCACTGTGTTGTTTGGTGTCAAGTGTGACCACTACTGTCCTGATTTCCCCATATGTAAAATGAAGGCATTGAATTGAAACTTTTCAAAGGTGCATTTCTGTTGTGCTATTTTGACTCTCTGATTAGGTGGAATCCAAAGGGGGAAAAGCTTTGAAGACTTCACATGGGGCTATCATGGAGCTGTATACTTCCTTTTATTTGTTTTTGTTTGAGAAGATGCCCTGATAATTCATGCTTTGTTTTCATTTTATATGGAAAAGAGCATCTTGGGAGAAATAGTATTTCTCTTAACAGAGATGAATGGACAAGAAATTTTGACACTGTTGACAATTCTCAAAAAACTAAGCAAAACTAAGCTGGTAGAGATTACAACATAGGCTGAAGAAAAGTTGATAATTTTCCCATAGAAACCTCATGTGTTTAAGCAGCTATTATAACTTCACAAAGTGAATCTTACCTATTTTTCATCTTTGTGCAGTGGATCATTTCCAGTTTTAAAAGTGCACAATTGAAGGAAGAGACAGAAGTTTTACATTAAATGGGGCTTTGGCTCAAGCTGTAGTTTCTTCAGTAAAAAGCTAGTCAAGGAACATAAACTAAAAAAAAAAAAAATGTTAATGACCTCTGTAAAATAATGTTTTGCTGAAATTCATTAATAAGATTAGGAGTCAGCCACCCTGGGCACTGAGTCTGATAACCACATAGTTTCCTCTGCATAAACATTGCAGTATAGTCACTTTTGTAAATTAAAATTAAAAAATGGAGGACCAGGAGTTGTGGCACTGTGGTAGAGTGCTTGTTTACAGTGTGTGAGACCCTGGGTTGTATCCTCAAAACCACATATAAATAAATAAATGTTTTTGAAAAAATAAAGGACCATGGGCTGGGGATACAGCTCGGTTGGTAGAGTGCTTGCTTTGCATGCACAAGCCTCTGGGTTCAATCCCCACCACCACAAAAAAAAAAAAAAAAAAAAAAAAAAAAATGGAGGTCCAAATGATGCTGTTCAGAGTTTTTACAGTCTGAGTTGTTTTGTAGAATCAGAATTATTTCATAGTTGCTCTCAAAAATAAATAATTGCTGATCTTTTAAATGACCTAAAAGATACTTCTGCTTCTCTTTCAGTGTGTTGTCCTCTGGCCTCAGAGTGTCCCTTATCAGAGCCTTGGACCTCTGGGCTACTTTACTCAGTATTTGGTGAACCACCATCACACCCTCCTGCATAATGGGTAAGGAGAACTGCAGAAGCCAGTTGTGGACATTACAGCCCTGGTCTCACTGGAGACCTGAAAAGCCTGCAATTGCCTTTAGATATCTAACAGTGTTGCTAGTTCACATTAAGACACCTTTCTTTTTAAGATTTCTGTGTTAGATTCCATCAGTTGGTAACTGTCACCTTAAACTAGACAAAATGTTTTTGTTTTCCCGGTTTCAGGTATTGGCTTGCCTGGCTGATTCACGTGGGAGAGTCCTTATATGCCATGGTATTGTGCAAGTAAGTCTTTGCAATAGGTTTTTGTCACCTTTCTCATGGTATCTAATTGAAGATGAGAGTAGCCACATTTCAATAATTTATATACTTGTAGGCTGAGAGCACTCTCGGGTTAGATCTGAATCCCCATACCTAGTACTGAACCTGACATGGAGTACTCAGTAAATGTTTGATGAATAAATTCAGTTTGTTTGTTAATGAATCAATTATTTAGTTATCTAATTGAGATGACTTTTCTTATGTTTTCAAAGCTGTGTGGCCCCAACTAGAACAAAAGGTTAGGCTTCCTTCTAATTTGAAAAAGAAAGTTATTGATGTAGGCCAATGGTTCACAGTCCTAGTGTCACAACTGAGTCACCTGAGGAGCTTTTATGAAATATACAAGTGTGGTTTCCAGACCCAGAGATTCTGATCTGGTAGGTCTTGCTTCAGACATAGGAATATGATCTTTCTTAAAGTTCCACAGATAATTCTGGAGCACAATACAAGTTAAAAGCCCCTAAACAATGCCCAATTCATCAGATTCCAGTGTAGGTTAATACAGTGTGAAAGTACTAGAAAAAAATTCTTTACGTTTGTGCTTTGCATAAGCAAATACAGAAATTATGATACAGAGAATAAGATGATTATCCTAATGCTTAATTGCTATGAAATTAATATCTTTGTATGACCCAGATTAATTATTACTTCTATTATTGTTGATTTACTTCTAAAAGTGCAAAGTGGGACACTGTATTTCCACTATATTTTAATAATAAAAATAATTAACATTGATTGGGTGCATACCATGCAAGAAATTGCTAAGTTGCTAAGTATAGATTATGATATTCTATCTTCTTGTTATTAAACACACTGGGCTTTCTACCAAAGGAGCAGAAAGCAACTATGTTCTTTTCACCCCTCTCCAAGTAAATTTACCCCATGAATTTTTCCGTCTCCCCCGCACCGCCTCTATAGCCCTGGATGAAACTCAAAACAGATCTGTGGGTTTTTTAGTCACTATCTGTAATTGTCCACTCTCATCTAGTCTGTTTGTTGAAAGTATAAGCTTCTTCTAATTCAAAATGTCAGCTCCTATCCAGCTATGGCTCAGGAGCCTGCTTCTGGCTTCCTTGGAATGGTAGGAATGGTTAGGGAAACAGGCCCTGTCTCTTGATCAGTCATTTGGGTGCTATCTATGTTGCAAATTCAGTGTAGACTCTTTTTCTCTAGAGGGCCTTTGGTGAATTTGGAGGAAATTGCTTATCATTTTGGATCTCCCTTTGCATTTCCCTTGATGGTTTTTTTTTTTGGTGCCTCCTTCAGCATGCCACTTTGCAGTTTTACCTCTGGAACTGTTTTGAGAAAGAGTTTTACCCTTTTATTGAGATCACATTTTTGCTTCATTTGGGACTTTCATGCAGGGTTCCTTCAAAACCTACCAGGTCCAGTACTCTTCTAAAAAAATCTGTCTGGCTGATTTCCTTATCCTTCCAGTGTGATCATCTGCAAGTGTGTACAGTTCCCAGTACAGCTGGTTTCTTTGCTCTTTCACCCAGCAGACTAAAACAGTCTTAATACTTTTGAGTCAGATACTAATTCTTTCTTCAAATCTCAAGGGCTCATGTCGATCTCTCCAACTGGTTCTCTTGAAGCCAGTCTCTGGACTTGACACAGAAAATGTCAGAGCATACAGGTACCTCTTTCCAATGGCCTCTTCAGCGTCTCAGTGAAATCTTACCTTGGAGTTGTTTGGCCCAGTCCTTGAACTTAGACTGCCAGAGTATAGATGGCATTAATATAACCATCTTATCCTTTGAATCAGAATTTCTGTATATGCTTATGCAAAGTACAAATATGCAGAGAATCTTTTTCCTAATACAGGTTAAAGAGAATTTTTAAAGAGATCTTTCTCATGTGGTATTAACCTATACTGGTATCTGCTGAATAGGGTCTAGTCTGGGGGCTTTAAACTTGCATTCTGTCCCAGAATTATCTGTAAAACTTTAAGAAAGAACATTCCTATGTGTGAAACAACACACACCAGATCAGAATCTCTGGGTATGGAAACTAGATATGTGTATTTTGAAAAAAATTATTTTGTAATGGCATTTGGAACCTCTAATGAAAACCTAAAGACTCAATTTAACATTCTTTTATCAGTCTTTTGAGGAGCAGAGGGAGGTTAGACATGGAGAAGTTGGTTCTTGAAATCGTGGCCTAATCTGTTGGAATGTATCATTGGTCACTGTAAATCAGAATAAATACTCCTTTTGAATTATAAGATAAATGAAAGAATAAAAAATAAGTGAAAACCTGTAGTACAATTACAGCCTCCCAAATTCTACTACCCAGAAATAGCTACATGTAACATTTTGGTGGATTCCTTTTTGCATGCATGTGAATTTTTTAATTGAATAAGTAGTATGCACAAAACAGTATGGGTACTGAACCCAGGGCACTTTAGGGTCCCACTAAGTTGCTGAGGCTGACTTTGAACTTGTGATCCTCTTGCCTCAGCCTCTGGAGTTGCTGAGATTACAGGCCTGTGGCACTGCACCCAACCGACAATATCCTTGATTCTAGATAATTATGAGAGGCAGAAAATTAAAATTTACTGAACATCTGGCACCTTGGTATAAATTCAATACATTTCTTTGTAAATTCCTCTTAACCAGAGATACGATTGGACGATGTTTGTCTTTATGTCAACCATAATCATATTATTAAGCACCTTTTCCATGTTTTTAACAATTTCAAGGTAAAGCTAGGGATGTGGCTCGGGGGTATAGTTTTTATCTAGCATGTGCATGGCCCTGGATTCAATCTTCAGCAATCAAAATAAATAAATCAATTTCTTGGTAATGTCAGGTGCAGTAGTGCACTCCTGTAATCCCAGTTACTGGAAAGGTTAGGCAGAAAGATCTAAGTTCGAAGCCAGCCTCAGCAACTTAACAAGACCCTGCCTCAAAATTAAAAATTAAAAGGGCTGGTACAGCCCTAGGTTCAATCACTAGTACTGCAAAAAAGATTAAATGAAATGAAAATTTAAAGGTCTCCTAAAATCCCCCAAAATAGTCATTATTAAAAGTTTAATATTTATCATTATGATTTATGCATTTATAAATAATTTTACATATACATAGAACTTCTTCTATTCAGTTTTCCATTGTTACATATCCCTGTTTTTCTGTGTCTATTCATGTGAATTTTACTCCATCCGTTAATATTAGTGCATAGTGTTCTATTATGTGAATGTGCCTTAATGTATTGAAGAAAGTCCCCTTCTGATCAACTTTTTAAGTCTCTAAATTGTTTTGCCATTATAAACTATATTGCAATAAATATGTCTTTGGTACATTTGGCCTACACCACCTACATTAACACTTCTGTAATTGGGTATTTGCCCTTTTATTATCCATCTATAGGCACTTTTTTCTTTTCCCCCTTTATTTAACTACTTTTCCACTTAGATGTTTTGCAAATATTCTTTCTCTGGTTCTTTTTCTTCTGGTAGATCTTTTGAAAAATAGAAGTTGATCAGTTTAGTCAAATTTATTATTTTTTTCTTTGTATTGAAATGATGAAAGTATTCTTTAACAGTGTCTTCTAAAAGAGTTTTGCCTAGTTTTACAATTTTGCCTCTCACATTTATGCCTTTAATGTACCTGGAACTGATTTGGGAGTGGGAAAGATGTTTCTGACGTCACCTTTTTCCATATGGATGCTCAGTCCTCCCAGAGCCATTTGTGATTGTCTTCAATCTCCATTGATGTACCTGTCTTATATCATATGTATATTTGTGTATGGCTGTTTCTAGACTTCCTGTTTTGTTCCATTGGTCTGAGTGTTCATTCTTGGGACAACATGGCTCTGTCAGTAGTAGTGGCTTTATGATCATTGACAGCTGATAAAGCACGTCCTCTTGCCTTCTTGTTCAAGAAGGAGGCTGCTCCTGGACTTTTACACATTCTTATGCCTTGTCATATGCTGCAAAAGCAAAAATCTAAACCTGTTGAGATCTTTATTGTATTCACCATGTGAATTAATTTGAAGAGAACTGACATTTCCATTCCTGCATCTTCTAAACATGAAATGATCCATATCCATCTATTTAAATCTCCTATAATATATCAATAAAGTTCTGTAATTTTAGGAGGTATTTCACATCTTTGTTTATTCATTTATTGACTATAGCCAGCTGTTTCTACTTTCAGGTGATATTATAAATGACTTTTCTAATTGTTTGATGGTAGTCTGTGTGGATATCATCAATTTTTATATATCACCCTGATATCTAACTACCTTGCTAAGTCCATTTATTTATTTAGTCCATTTATTAATTCTAATAGTCTCTACATATACAATTGTGTCTAGATAGTTGCACTTCTTCTTTTCAATTTTATGTACCTTTCGTTTATGTTTCTTCCCTTTGTGTGCTGACTGTATTTTCAGTGTCAACTGAAAGTGGTGGTAGTAGACATTATGCATGGTTCCTGATCTTAAAAGAAAGCCTTCTGCCAGGCGCAGTAGCACAAGCCTGTAATCACAGTGGCTTGGGAGGCTGAGACAGGAGGATCACGAGTTCAAAGCCAGCCTCAGCAATGGCAAGGTGCTAAGCAGCTCAGTGAGACCCAGTCTCTAAATACAATATAAAATAGGGCTGGGAATGTGGCTCAGTGGCCCTCAGTTCAACCCCAGTACAAAAAAAAAAAAAAAAAAAAAACACCTCTGTGTGTATCATGTTACAGGAATTGTTTCTTCTAGAGTTGTGTGACCTCTATTAAATTTAGGAAGCTCCATTGTATTTCTAAGTTTGCTGAGAACTTTTATTAAGAATAGATGATAAAATTTATCAAATGCTTCTTCTGAATTTACTAAGATTCTTTATGGTCTTTTTAAATATGTTAGTGTAGAAAAATATATGCTTTTATATGTGATGTTTGTTTTAAATAAAAAGTCATCCAAATGAGATTTATATTACAGATGAGACTAAAATTTTCTTCAATTAGATTAATTTTCTTATTTATTAATTGGAGTATTGTTTTAGGCAGTTTAATTTGAAAGACTCTGTGAGCAGGTGTTTATTATTACTATGCACCAAGCTCCTTCCTAAGCCCTTTGGGTATATTATCTTACCAATCACATCAAAATTTGGTGAGTTAGAAACTACTATTCCTATTTTTCAAATGAGAAAACTGAGTGATTTTCCAGGTCACAGCTAGTGGGTGGCAAGCTGGGATTCTCTTCTGGTCTGTCTTCAAGACACTTGCTATGAAGCCCTGCTAGTGCTGATTACCTATCCACTGATCAGAATCACATGAGAAACAGTTGTACAATACTGTACCCAGAGAGCAGCCAGACTGGTTCCCAGGGAAGTGTACCACCTAAGATGCATTTATCAGAAAACAAGAGAGATGAAAAGTAAATGAACCCATCTTTCGCCTTCAGAGAAAAACAGCAAAATAAACCTGAAAGTAGATGGAAGTGCTAAATGAAAAAAATAGAGAAGTCAGTAACCCCCATAAAATGACAATTCTGGTGTCTGAATTTTGTTCTTTCTTTTTCAGATATAAAGGAATCACAGACAGTCGGGCTCAACTACTCTTGTTCTTGCAGACTTTCCTCTTTGGGATAGCATCTCTCTCCATCTTGATTGTTTACAGGCCAAAGCGCCAAAAACACAGTTAAAGGAGAAAGCCAAAACTTTCTCTCTGCTTTCACATTCAGACTCTCTTTCGCTATGTTTACTTGATGATCTTTCTACATTCTAAAAGTGTCTGTCCTACAAAGGTATTTAAGACCCTCTCAATGTTCATTTTTCTTCCATATGCTTGGGTTGAGCTTGAGTAGACTAGTTGTTATCTAAGAAAGAAATAAGAAAAAACTCTGGTTTTCTAAGTTCTGCAGAAAACTTGAATGGCAGCAGACTTGCAGCCTCCCCCTCTGAGGCCCTTGGCTGTGCTGGTCCCTCTCTGTCTTCAGGGCTGAAAGGAGTACTAGATTTGCTTGCTGGTGGGCCTGTGCTCCCTGTTTCTGAGTAAAGCATCTCTTCTAAATTTGTTCTCATCTTTCTGAACCAAAATGAAATGACACTTCCATAATACATTTGTTAGACACCTGTGAGGCATGATCTTATCTCCTCAACTAAGCAATTGTGTAAAGGCCCAAAGGACCTGCCGAGAACCCAGAGCAGAGTACCAGGGCAGGGTCTCCCTGATGCTGCCAGCCAGCAGTGATCGTTCCCTGCACATGGCCCCAGGGACACAGTGCTCTGTGGTAGGCAGAGTGTGATGGCCACTGCTAGATTGCCCCTTCAATTCAGGGCCACAACTCAGGCAGCTGTCTTTTTCCCCAGGGCACCTGTTCCCACCTGTGCATCAGGTGGTTCTCCTCCAGTGTTATTGACAAAGGAGGGAAGCACTTCGCTTCCACTTGTTCTGTATCATTCATTCCATGTGCCCTCATCTCCTAGAACAGCACAGGACACCTTCAGTAGTGGTGCCACCTTTCTGTGGGTCCTCTGGGGAAACGTGGATTTTCCCTCACTCTCCTGCTGTCTGTCGCTTTCTTCATCCAGCCCTAGCTTACTCAGTCACACCCACATTCCTCTCTAGAGATGCTAACCTCTGGGTTTTCCAGCTGGTTACTACCTCACTGATTAACCTGAACGTCCTATATTTCTACTGGCCTTTGGGGAGAGAGGTCCCCTATCTCTGTTTCTTTACCTTGGTAGAATGGCGCCATCACACTTAGGAGACATTAGGGCTCCTTCTGAGGAGAGCATCTGCTTGTTCTCTGGAAGCTATTTCTCATTTCCCTTTGTGATTCCTTGGGCAGGTTGTTGTATTAGCAAACATTTATAAGAAACAACTCTCCCCAAAAAGAAAGCCCCCGAGGGATAATGAGCTATGAATTGTTTTTAGTGGACATAAATTTTTTGCACATATATCTCAGTCTTTCCTGATCTTCCTCTTGGAGTAGGGGTTACTTTTGAGTAAAGAAAAAAATTTGACCAGGAATTAAGCATCATGGAGATCCAACCCAGATTTTTTTTAAAGCATAGCTGTCTCCAGATGACCCTAAAAATGACAATAATTGTGCCCAGAACAATGTGGCAGATGATTAAATGAAATAGACTAACTCAAATAAAATGCTGTGACTTTCTCTACAATGAAATGGATTTTTGTTTGTTTTGATCAGTGTTGATATTATCACACATTTTATTCTTTTTTTTTTTTTTTTTGGTAGCTCTAAATGGAACTGTTAGCACAGTTCAAATATCAGTTTGACATTCACTGATTAAGAAATGCAGAATGCCTTGGTTGTGCGGTGTGTAGTTCTCCCTTCCTGTGTGTTTGCTGAGTCTCTGGGTTGGACACCAGTGTCTCTTTTTCCTTGTATGGTTGTTTCCTCTTTGTTACTGTTTTCATTCAACATCTGATAAAATCTGTGCAGCAGGTGAAGTGTTCTGGCATTTTTAAAATGCCAAACATAAAGAAATCCTATGTTCTTATTTGTGGCATTATTATGGCTTAGAACCAAAGGGGATCTTAACAGGTGCTGCAGGTCATTCATTTTATAGAACCATAAAGTGCATCCCAGCAAGAGTGACCTACCCAACATCTTCCAGAGAGAGGCAGAATCCTGAGCCTTGTTTTCCCCCTTCCCCCACAGCCCAGGAGTTTAGAAGTAAGTCTGTGAAGCAAAAAGTAAACAGAAAAATGGAGCCATCTTGGCTCTGCATTAGTCATGGTGATGATATGGGAGAAACAGATCTATGTTGAGATGAATGAGAAAAGGCCAGAGGCATCTTCATGGAAGCAAACATGGAAGATGAAGAGACTGACCTGTTTTCTCATAAACCCAAAAGATTTCCAGAGCATGTATAGTTTGGAAAAACAAAAAAAAAAAAAAAAATGACCTCACAACTTAATAAAAGGACCAATATATAAACAAATATGGCCTACATTCACATGTTTATGAATCCAAGCGTGAACATGTTTTATAAGGCATGGTGTTAACAAGCCTTAGTTTTAAAAGGTTAAATTTCAGATGTGTTGGGGCTTTTTAGGAAGACAACTTGCCCTTTCAGAAGGCCCTTATGTCTTTACACTGAACATACACAAAAGAAAAGAAGTTAGAGGATAGAGTGCAACTGCAATTTTATTTTGCTAAGGCCCTTCCTGGAGTTTCCTTAATTCAAGCTCTAAGTTTGATTACTTGGTTAATAAATACCATTTCCCTGCAAAGGAACTAAACAGACACTTCTCAAATGAAAAAAATGAGGGGTCAAAAAATATATGAAAAAATGTTTAACATTGCTAGTAATTAGGAAACTGCAAACTAAAACTACACCGAGATTTCATCCCCTGTCAGAATGGCAATTATGAAGAATACAATTAACAAATATTGGTGAGGAGGTGGGGATGCATTGCTGGTAGGTCTGCAAATTGGTGCAACCACTCAGGAAAAATTTGTGGAGAGTCCTCAGAAAAATAGGAATGGAACCATCATTTGATCTAGTTATTGCATTCCTCCATATATATCCAAAAGATTTAAAGTCAGCACACTGTAGTGACCCAGCCACATCAGTGTTTATACCAGCACAATTCACAATAGCTATGCTATGGAGTCATCTGGGTGCTCCTCAACAGATAGTTGGATAAAGAAAATGTGGTGTATATACACAAGCCATAAACAATGACTTTATGGCATTTGCTGGTCACTGGATGGAACTGGAGACTACCATACTAAGTGAAATAAGCCAGCTCCAAAAAGTTAAAGGTCTGATGTTTTCTGATATGAAGAAGCTAATCCAAAATAAAAGTAGGATAAAAAAAAGAAGAAAGATCAGAGGATTAGATAAAGGAGAATGAAGGGAAGGGAGGAGGGATGAGTATAGGGAAAAACAGTGAAATGAATCTGACATAACTTTCCTATGTACATAAATGGATATGCCTTAGTGAATCTCACCATCATGTACATCCAAAAGATACTAATTTAAAAAAAAAAAAAAAAACTATAAATGGCAGAAGGATCAGTAGCATAGACTGAAGGTACAAGTGGGAGGGAAGAAGGGAGGAGAAGAGGGAATATCAGGTACTGAATTAGAAAGGTGAGAGCCACAGCCAACTTGGAATGATGGCATGGCATTTTTGCCAGAAGGAAGTGGTTGAGAGGTGACTCCAAGGAGCCATTGAGATGATGATGGTTATGTTAAGCTGTGTATTCAATTGTATATTAGACCCCTGCTGTCCACCTCCAGTGCCAGCTACTTTGGAGTTTTTGCAGGGATTCCTGGAGAGTTCACATTGGTTGGGGAAGTTCCTGAGGAGGCTTGTGATTTGTGCCCAGCCAGACTGCAGCAATTGGTGGCCTGTGCAGGGTGGGGGGGGGAAACGCCTGAGGGTAAGTGATATGGTAAACTGCTCGCTCCTGAGGGCAGTAGGAGAGGATGGGTAACCATTTAACCATTCTTCTTTCCTTTTGTTTCACTTTTGTTTTAAGTTGCCAGTCCCTGGAAATGGGTGGGATGGAAGAAAAACTGCTCACATCTGAGGAAAAACTATTTGCATCTGAGGAACAGATAGGGAGAAAGGAGGGATGAACATTTCAGGAGGATAGAAAGGCTGATATAATGAATTTTTGTTCCACTTTTGTTTCATTTTGTCTCAGTTTTGTTTTGCATTATCTTAGTGAGGGGTATCTTCATCATGGAAATATGGAATTAAAAATTAATAAGAACCAAACCGAAAGGGTGTTAAGTAAAATGCTAGAGGAAGGAGGCATCTCAGTAAAATCAAGAACAGTTAGGGCATACATTAAAATGATACAAAGGTGTAGCCCATGGTTCATTAAAGAGGGGTTGTTAAATATATCACAATGGAACCATCATGGTGAAGATTTTTAAAAGATACAAAAGGAAAGCCCAGGAACTCTGCCAGTTGGCACATTACCATTATGGACGTTGGTACAATCTTGTTTGCTTAGTCTAGGAGAAGACATCTTAAATCAAGTAAAAGAGGAAGTCTCTCGAGTTAGTCAGGGGAAAAAAGTTTAGAGAAGGAGGGGCTATTCAGAGAGAAGTTACAATGGCAGGTTTCTACTAACACCTTTCTATCACCAGAGGGTGTAAGTGTCCAACCAACAGCTCCACCTATGGAGACAACATATGCTGAGTGGCCCTCAACCCCCGTAGTTGATAGATGGGATCCTGAGACAGGACCTCAAAGATTAGCATGCCCTGTATTTGAGGCAGCAGGAGGGCAGCAAAATCACCATGATTTAGATTTCAAAACAGTGAAGCAGCTAAAAGAGGCTGTAACAACTTATGGTCCTCAAGCACCCTTCACTGTAAGCATGGTCGAATCCATTACCAACTTGAACATGACACCAGCAGATTGGACTTGTATGTGTAAAGCTGTGCTAAATGGAGGACAATACCTGTTATGGAAGGTTGCCAGTGAGGAATTTTGCACGGAGACGGCTAGGCAAAATGCAGCAGCTGGTTATCCTCAAAGAAATCTAGGTATGTTGTTAGGAAAAGAGCCTTATGAGAGTCAGCTGCAACAAATTGCATATGATCCTGCTTAATACTCACAAATTGGTGCAGATGCGGTTAGGGTATGGAAGACTTTACAATAACTATTATCAAGCAGTGTTATTTTTATGAGGTATCTAGAATAGTCGAAGTCATAGAGATAGACAATGATAGTCTTCAGGGACTGGGGAGGGGGCTCTGGGGAGTTCTATTCTAATGGTTACAAAGTATCAGTTCTACAAGATGTAAAGAGCTCTGTGGACAGTTGCTGGTAATTGTTACAGGACAATGTCATATAGGTGATGCCATTGAAGTGTATGTTTAAAAATAGTGGTGAGGGTA